CTCCTCTGACCTCCTCTTACGGCCCCTCTCAAAATCTGTTCTCTCCTAGTCTGAGGTTGTCTTACTTTTAGGCGGTGAAGAGCAAAGGGATTTGATGTCGCCCCTGTGTTTGAGTTCCGGGTCCTTCAGCCACCAGCTGGGTGACCCTGCAACATCTCCAATAAGAAACTGTGTGTCCTGAAAGGGGCAGGCCTGCCTCCTGCCCCTACGCTGTGCGTGCTCCTGCCTGGATCACACACTGAGATATAAAGCAGTCCTTTTGCATCTGGTCCCCCTCTGCTGTATCACCCATCACTCTGTCTAGCCTTCTGTCTCTTTCCTCCACACTGACCTGCTCTGCCTGCGGTCCATCTTTGCTTTCACAGGCAAGCACAGCGGGCTCATTGTTTCCCTGGAGGTCCAGGTGGTACCAACCACATTGCAACTGATGAAATGAATGTTTCCTTTTTCCTTAGTTTCTTCCTTATGGGAAAACTTGACCTGAAAACACTGTCTGAGAAGACCGCTTCTCTCACATCACGGGTGGGTGGGGAGGACCTTGGTTCAGAGAGGAATTCCCTGCCTGCTCCACCAGACATCGCTGTCGGGGGGCTTCCGAATATATCCTTCATTCAACAGACAGGCTCATCACTTGTCCCAAATTAGAGTGCTTTGAATGCTTGGAGGGTTAGCATTTAACAGTTGTGAGTTTTAAAATAGATCGAATTCCTTCATTCCCTCTTCTAGTATTTCATGGTCAGGAAGAGGCAGAGACACACACAGAAGGAAATGGGGACTGATTTGTGCTCCTGACAAGGCTCATTCATCTAACCCTGGACTCATAGTCATTGTCTGCCTGCTTCCTTTTCCATCCATCCCCCTTCTTTCTCCCTTCCTTCCTTCCTACCTTCTTTGCTCCCTCCCTTCTTCTTTTCCTCCCTTCCTTCTCCCCACCACTATTACTTAAAACATAAGAGGAAAATATAAGCACTAACAAACTTGAATTGCTTGGTAACATGGGAGCATGTTTACAATACTCTGTTGGCTCCTCTTCCCTAACCAAAGTCCTCACCTTCGTAGGAAAGCCTGATTTTTCTGGACTCACCCTCCAGTGAAGGTGACTGGTAAGAATTCATGTGTTACCTCTTCCTGAGGCACTTTCATCATCATCGCTTTTAAAAGCCCAAAGACCTCGAGCATTTAACATGTAATAGTAGACAAGAGGTACAGGTGTTTGAGGCAGGAGGTCCTACCCAGGGCCTGAAGATGCCTCTTAGTCATCCAGAGAGAGAAATAATGACAACAAATCTCTCTCTCTCTCTCTCTTTCATCTACCTTTATTGGAGACCAACAAATACCAAAATAAAGTTTGGTCAAAAATTTGTAACTCACAATGTTTTCAAAGACAAAACACACGCTGGTTCCAAATCCAGAGGATGACCTGTCATCTGTGAGACATTTGGGGCAGTGCAGTCAGACTGTGCCTTGCAAGACGGTGACCCAGAGACAGGGCCGGTCAGCACACATCTTAGAACCAATCTGCTTCACACAGAGGGGCTTCCAGCGATGTCAAGGGAACCTTAAGGGCATAAGATTCTGTTTTCTCAGAGAAACAATGCAATCCACGGTGTCTCTGGGCAATTAAGCTTTGGACAAACTTTAGGAGCAAAAGTTGGGTCAAAATAGTGGATGCTGAATGTCCAATCCCAAGGAAAATTGAATCAGAAAGAGCTCAGAGTACAAGAAGCAACCTCTGGGGTGTGGTGACTGCCCCAGTCAATGAGCAAAAAGAAAGAACCACTCCAGCTCATTGACCATCATGCCAAAAATGGGCCAGTCCTTTATGCAGAAAATAGGTGATTGAAGAGCAGAAGAGACCAGAAAAGGTGAAACTCAAGCTTCCATTATTGACTGTTTCCAGTGTCAGTTTAGATAGATTAGCTCATTTAATTTGATCAATAACACGAGAGGTTGGTGTGATCATTATCCTTTGTTTTTACACAGAGGAAATAAGACCCAGAGTCAGGGACGGGACTAAGACTCAAATCCACATCTTTTCTCATGTTCTCTCCTCTCCTGATTCTTAAGCAGGGCTGACTCCCAAGTCCAGAAGCACAGGGTAAAGGAAGATTGCTGGCCCATGAGCTGGCATCTGACTGTGTCTGTGGGGCCAGGGTGGCAGTCAGGGAGCAGGTGGGGTGGCTGGGGAAACCAACACTGATTTGAGTCCAGGGTCCCAGCCATGACATGGACACGGCAGGCCACGTGAGTACTCATGAGGGCACCTTCGCAAACTTCGGCGAAGGAGAAGGAAGTCTCTGGAAACCAATCAGAGAGGGTAAGTCGCCCCAAATGGAAGCAGCAGCTGTGCCAGGTTCAGGGGTTGCAGAGTCCTGGGAGCTGCCTGGGCGGTTCTTCTGGGGGTGGGATGTGAGTGCTGGGCAGGCCGCTTGGGCTTGGCCCTGCTAGACCTGGTCCCAGAGGTGATGGGCCACTGAAGAGTGTGAAGTGGATAAAAAGACAAAACGAAACCTTAAGTGTTTCAAGCAAGTTGAGCCCTGGGCTTTGGCTGGGGCATGGCAGATCTTGGTGTCACTCACCCAGAGGGAAAATCAGGGAAGATTTCAGGACGTGTAGGGAAATCCAAGGTTGGGAAGCAGGAGGAGTAGACCCTCAGATGCCCAAGTCACTACTATGTGCCATTCTTTATATTTTTAAACCATTTTCATGCCTATGATCTTACTTTTCATGTCACAGCCACTCTGTGTAGGTAAAAGGCATCATCTCACTGATGAGAAAAGTGAGGCAGGAAAAGCTCTAGTGATTGGCTCAAGGTCACAACATTCTGAGTCCCCATTCAGAACAGGCTTTTTAGACCCTGCAGCAAAATTCAGTCACCACTTTCCTGAGCAATGACTTACGGGCGACTTGCAAGGGCCTTTTATTTTTTTTTTATTTTTTATTTCATTTACCTTTATAAGTTGGAGGCTAATTACCTTACAGTACTGCAGTGGGTCATATGGAGGCTAAATAACATGCTTCTGAATAACCAAAAAATCATAGAAGAAATCAAAAAAGAAATCAAAATATGCATAGAAATGAATGAAAATGAAAACACAACAACCCAAAACCTATGGGACACTGTAAAAGCAGTGCTAAGGGGACGGTTCATAGCATTACAGGCTTACCTCAAGAAGCAAGTGCCTTTTAAAACTCAGTCTTCGTTGTCCTGGTCTTTCCGCTTTTAAGTCAACATCCCATGTGGTCTCTTAGGGAGCAAATATATTTTCCTTGATTTTATTCTTGAACCCTTGAAATGACTATTTAAATACTTTAACTACAATTTCTCTCAATTTCATTGTCCATGTCAAAGCATTTGACTAAAATGTAGCACAACTATGGTTCCTTTCAAGGGGGTCAAAATGTTTTCTGTGGATGGAAACGTTCCCTATGAATGAAGATGAAAGAAGCTTTGTTGTACTCTTCCTTGGGGAATCTTTCTAAGGTTATTACCAAAGTCAAGAATAGATCAGAAATGGAGAAAAGGTAGGAATATCAAGAAGAGCTTTCATGGAAAATTGAAATCATTCCTTTTAAAGTTCACAAATCCCACCCTGATGATAGACACCCCCAGCCTTGCAGGACAGCTCTTCCCAGATAGAAAAGTGGTGATCATGAGATGATGAGGCAACTGTGATTGATGTCAGCAGGTCCAGATGGCAATATTTTATGAAAAATTTAATGGACGTTTGTTAAGCTGATTCAATAGCAGCAGCCCTGGGCTCAATGGGGCTGGGGGATACAAGAAGAGTGCGTCATCTATGAAGGTGTTTGGGGCCAGTTAGGGATGGAAATGCTACTGATTTGAATTTTGCACACAAGGGTTCCCAGCCTCTAGGCCACAGATGGGTACCTCCTGTCAGATCAGCAGGGGCATTAGATTAGAAATAAAGTGCACAGTAAATGTCATGCACTTCGATCATCTGGAAACCATCCCTCCACCAGTACCATGGAAAAATTGTCTTTCGCAAAACTGGTCCCTGGTGCCAAAAAGGTTGGGGGCCACTGCTGTACATGCTTGGAGCTCATAACAAACACCACTTCCTGTCTGTCTCCCACAAGCCCTGCTGTAAATACAAGACTATTGGGAAGACACAGTGATTCCCAGTGACCAGGTGGCTGCCCCAGTTTTGCATCCTGGTTCTTTGTCTCTGAATGAAGGGCTCTCATCACTAACCCAGATAAGAAATAGCTCCGCAATGACCTAGGCCCACAGCAGATTCCTGCTGTCATCCAAGATATAGGAATTTATGATGGGTTAGTGGTAAAGAATCCACCTGCCAATGATGGATGCTCAGTAGATGCTGGTTCGATCCCCGGGTCAGAAAGATCCCCCGGAGAAGGAAATGACAACCCACTCCAGTGTTCTTACCTGGGAAATCCCATGGATAGAGGAGCCTGATGGAGTTGCATAGGGTTGCAAAGAGTCGGAGACGACTGAGCATGCAGGCACTGTTCAGTGCTTCACGGAAGAGATGAAATATAGACATTTTAGTGCTCCTTTAACCAGTGAAGATGTTGTAGAAATGCTTTCAAGGAGGAAATGCCTTTTTCATAGAGACTCGGCTGGTTGACTGAACTTTTCCTTCTTGGGTTAAACATAGCCACTTCTCTTACATCCTGAGGCGTCGGCTCTCCTGGTGGAGACACGTGAGCACGGCCAGGGGCCTGGAATGTCCCAAGAGGGTAAGAATAGCCAGATGGGCGACGGCTGCTGCCGGCCTCTGGTCACTGCAGTTGTCAGGAAAGCTTTGCCTCAAACAGCTCGGGGCCGCCTCCACTGGACACAGAAGAACAGCCTCGTGCTCCTGGGCTTGAATTGCCCCTTTAATACCTCCAGCTCTCACCTGGGAGTCTTTTGTAGTGAAGATACACATATTCTCGCAAAGATTTCCCACCTCCTTGGAGAACACAAGCTCTGGACGGCTTCTGTCACCTTGAGTCTGTGACCCCCTGGAGGCATGGACCAGTCGGACCTGCTGGGGTTCCTTGTTATCACCCTAAATTGCAACGTGACCCTGGTGGGTGAGTACTACAAATCCCGGCAGAACCCGGGTTCTGCCTTGGATCGCTTTTCTTAGTCCTTCTCCAGGAGAAAGGCTTGCCTATCCCTGGAGGACAGGGAGCCATGGCTCAAGTTTTCCTCTCATTCTCCATCATTTAATGAGGCTCCCCATCATTTAAGCATGTCTTGGGGGTGAGCAATATTTCTCTCAAGAGGCCTCTTCTTGCTAACATTTGGGGGCTCAGTAAGTGGGAGGGGTATTTTTATGTAACTCTTCTCTGGCTACTAGGAAAAGAAACAATACAAAGTTAAGAAATTCATGCCTTGAGTCAGCTTGCTTGTTCATCTTTTTTATGGATTATCCTTGAAGCTCCATTTGTAAAGATTAGTAAATTCTCTTGTGTACTTTAAACCAAATCCCAATTTTAGTTTTAGCCTTTTCCCCCCTAACAATGAAAGTAATACATTTTTGATTTATTTGAGTTTGAGTTAAATTTTTGGAGAGGTGTGGCTACCCTAATAAAGGGGATTGAGAAAAGGATTAAAATACATCCATGAAGTGGCTGATATTTTTCTTGTTCATTGCTTTTTAAACTAAGCCAACTTCATTTTAAAAGTTTGAGTTAATGATGTTATCACATAATTATCATGCAATTCTTGAGTTGAACTGACTTCATTGATAAAATAATTTAATTCTTCTGAAGTCAGGTGATGATTTCTGCATCTCATCACAAAACAAAATATCCAAAAATTATTTTGATTGGTCCTTCAGCATATTCCAAGATTGTTGATTCATGACATGAAAATAGGACTTGGAAGTGATTTTGATTTCTAGGTTAGCCTCACACATTCACGATAAATTGAAGAAAGATGAAACCTCAATTCATAATAGTTGGAATAGGGGGAGAGGAGTTCTGAATAATTGAAGAGTCTAAAAAACTGAATATTCTTCAAAAACTCTGATTTCAAGGGCCATAAAGCCACATTAAACACAAGTCCTGCAATTACATAAAGATCATGTGGACTATTACCATACAGAAAACTCACTGAAATTAGTAGCTTTTATTTGCTGTACACAGTTACAGGAAAGCACTAATATCTTTGAAAAAGTTCACTCTTTAAGAGGAAGACTTAATTTACATCAGCCCAACTTTCTTTCTAGAATTTTCAGCCCAAAGTCTGAACTAGCTGAGCCATATTAAACATTTTAGTTATCTATGCTTCTTTAAATCTGTCAATTTCAAAGCATTTTACAAACAAGTATAGACATACTCATTTTATTGTGCTTCCCAATATTACTTAAAAAAAAAAAAAATTGAAGGTGGCAACCCTGCCTTAAGCAAGTCTTTGGTGCCATTTTTCTGATGGCATTTGCTCACTTCATGTCTCTGTGCCACGTTTTGTCAATTCTCGAAATATTTCCAAGTTGTTAATTGTTACTAAATTTATTCTGATGAACTGTATGATCAGTGATCTTCAGTGTTACTACCATGACTGGCTGAAGGCTCAAAGGATGGTCAGCAATTTTTAACAATGAAGCATTTTTTAGTTAAGATGTGTACATTGTCCTTGATAAAGCTACTGCACACTTAATAGACCAAGGTAGAATGAAAACATAGCTTTTATATGCACTGGGAAATCAAAAAATCCTTAGGACTCGCTTTACTGGGGTGGTCTGGATGGAAGGTGGCAGGTTCTTCAGGGTAGGCTTAGTTGAGCACAGGGTCCACACGTTGTGAGTGCTGATTAGATGTTCACCCAACAAGCCAACTGGCTGATAGTCTTGCTGTGACTACAACACACGGCTTATCCACTTAGCTCTTCAGTCCCGGTTCTCCACTCCCCTCAGTAAGGACTTAGAACTGCTAGGAGGAGATGTATTTGTATGGTTGTCATGGCGGCCTTCCTGCTGCTTCTTCCCAGGGAAGATCTGGCTTATCTTCATGGTGCTGCTGAGGATGGTGGTTCTCATTCTAGCCGGGTCACCCGTCTACCAGGACGAGCAGGAGAGGTTCGTGTGCAATACCCTGCAGCCGGGATGCGCCAACGTCTGCTACGACATCTTCGCCCCGGTGTCCCACCTGCGGTTCTGGCTGATCCAGAGCGTGTCTGTTCTCCTTCCGTCCGCGGTCTTTGGCGTCTACGTGCTGCACAAAGGAGCTGAGTTGGCTGCACGCAGATCCCGCGGGCCAGAGGATGCCTCGGAGGACCACGACGCCCCGGAGCTGACCCCCGGGGCCAGGCGCTGCCTGACGGTGCCGGACTTCTCCTCGGGCTACGTGGTCCACCTCTGCCTCCGGACCTTGACCGAGGCAGCTTTCGGTGCCCTGCACTACCTCCTCTTCGGATTCTTGGTCCCCAAGAGGTTCTCTTGCACGCACCCTCCTTGCACCAGCGTGGTGGACTGTTACGTCTCCCGACCCACGGAGAAGTCCATCCTGATGCTTTTCGTCTGGGCGATGTGCGCGCTGTCCTTCCTGCTCACTGTCGCCGACCTGGTCTGCAGCGTGTGCTGGAAGACGCGAGGGCGACCCGGTGGGGTCCGGAGGAGACCGTGTCCAGGGGCAAGGGATGCGGCGCCTGAGGGACGCGGGGCGCGGGAGGGGCTTGGGGTGCACGAGGGACGCGGGGAGCGCGCTCGCACGGGACTGGGGACCCGAGGGCCGGGCGCGCACAGCCCCGCTGCGGAGCCCGCCGCGCCCGGGAGCCTGGAGCTGCGGGGGGAGGACGAGAGCGACGCGTTGTCCTCAGCCAGTGACCAGCCGCGCTTGGCCCGGCCCGGAGCGGCGGCCCCGGGGTGGGAAGAGCGCCCCTGCGCGCCGCGTGCCCCGCTCTCCGGCCCTGGCAAGTCCGAGTGGGTGTGAGTCCCAGCATCCCAGCCCAGGAACGCGAACGCGGTGACCATCCGCACCGCAGAAAGGCAAGCGGGCGGGACAGACGGACTTCGCAGGAGGCTCTGATGCAGCTCACCAAAGATTTAATTTAGATAAAGCCTTTCGGAGGAGGGGTGGGGGGAGGGGGGGCGCGGAGACTGTTCTGGGTGTTCAAATGCGGACGGGTTAACCCAAGAGCATCAGGTCCCTGAATTTGCTGCTCTCTGATTCTGTTGTCTTATCTTATCCCGTAGGTGCTTCGTGAGAAGCACATCCTCTTGCATTTACAGAGCTTTAATTAATATGTTAATGTTTTCGAAGGAGTTATTTTGCTTTGTGTTTTTTGATTTTTGGTTTTTTGGTTTCAGTTTGTTTTTCTGCTTAGTTAAAAACAGCATCTGTTAGGAACTTCATGTCTAGAGGGATATTCGTTTAACTTCTCCAAACTCCCTTAATAAAATTAATGCTGATTGCATTGAGATCTCGCACTTCTTACTTCACTGTGTCATAGGAGAAGCCATAAATGCAGTAGATCTAGCTAAAAAACATTGGGGTCTTTTGTGGGGGCATCTTGAGTGGTCATTGCAACGTGGGTGTGAGGTGCACAAGCTGAGGAGTGGCCACGGGCTTGCTTAGTGTTGCTGGGCATGTTGGTTGGGTGCCTGTCCTAGTTGAGCAGAGGGGAGCACTTTGGCTGCTGATGGCAAACCTAGAGTTGTCACAGGGCTTCCAGTCCTGGCTCTGACTCTCCCCTGGCTCTGGGGAAAGTCCTACCTGTTAGGGCTGCCCTAAGGGTCTACGAGAAAGGCTGGGGGTGTTCCAGCTTTGCACTGTGTGCTGATGAACTGGGGAGGGGGTACCCCACAGACACAGCACTGTCATCTTCCAGGGGAGCTCCCTGCCATCGACTCTGCTCTCCTCCGTTTTCCCTGATTTTGGTCCAGGTCCTGCCAAGTTGGAGCAGAGTCTATTAGAGCCTCCGTGCTCCCTTCAACTGCCATGAGGAGGACACAGTGCAGCAGAAAGTTGGGGTAAGGCTGTTCCTCTTCACCAGGAGGCAAGGAAGAGCCACTCGGTTGTCCTCCCAGAACGGATGAAGTGCCTCAGGTCCACAAACACCCAACACTGAAGAAGCCAGCAGATAGTGAAACAAGTGAACCAAGGCACCCAGGGAAACAGTGGGCACTTTTTAAAACTGTTCTAAAGATAACCTTGACAGTGAAATATCTGTCGGAATGGGGAGTGACTTCCTTGATCTATCTACAGAGTATCAAAGCCATTGATTAAAACTTAAAAAAAAATCATCCAAAATTGGTCTTGGCATAAAGCTTGTTGAATGAATGAAACTGTTTTAACTTTGCAGTGAATCTCTCTCCTAATCTCTGACTCTCTCTCTCTCTCTCTCTCTATTGCTCATCAACCTATTCAAAACCATGAACCATGACTCAGACCCCTTTTTTTCAAAACTTAGATCAATGTCATACATAGCAAGTGCTCAATAAATGTGATTTTTGAGCCTGATATCCCTGAAGTATTCAGGGAAAGATCTGTTTCTTGTCCCTTGAAGTATGCATTTCTGGTGCACTTTTGAGTTTGAGCACAGTCTTACAGACATAAGAATTCTCTAGGGGCTTCATTGCTATTTTAAAAATAAGTTCCTCAGGACCCCTCAAAGACCCAAGGTGAGCCTTGATAATGTTAAGTGAAGAAAGGAAATCAAATTAACAGATATTGGTGAGGTGCCCGGCTGAGTGACTGATAGCCGCTCAGTTGCATGTGACTCTTTGCGACCCCATGGACTGTAGCCTGCCAAGCTCCTTTGTCCATGGGCTTCTCCAGGCAAGAATACTGGAGTGGGTTTCTGTCCAGGTAACTCCTGGGAATGGAAACTAGTGAGGGCGAGCAGGGACTCCCTCTTGGCTGTGGCCCCAGAGAGAACTGGGCCCTGTTCTTCTATGAGTTCTGTAAGTCCATGCTCAGGTTTGGCTTTATAAATGGCACCGGTGTTTGGGTATATTAGGAAGGGCTGCTTGGGCCTCTCAGTTGATGTCCCAAATCCCACTATCAGAGGAAGAACCTGGAGATTTGTTCTATGGAAAATTGTAAATGGCATTCAGAGTAATGGAGACCAAGAGAGGGGGAGAGATGTCGTGTTGATGATGGGACCCAGTGTCCATCATTTCTTGGCCAGGTCATTCCCTTCCTCTGGGCCTCGGTTTCTTTCTCTGAGGAAAGAGGGCCTGCAATGATGGGTGCAGCTGTCAGCCCTTTTAACATCAATAGGGGCTGGTTTACCAGGCCTAAAGTTTATCAGACCTGGTCTACCAGCCTGAGCACAGGTTTCCATAATTGAAAATGGTCAGAACAGGAGAGACTTGCCTGTCCCAGGGAGAGCTGCCATGGAAGAGCGGGGACTTCATGAATGTGGGGAGGGGGCTCTGAGGATGACTCACCGACTCCCCACTCGGCTGAGTGATGGCAGAGGCTGCATGGACAGACGTGGGGTCATCTGCTGTGACCCACACTGTGAGAGCAAGATTGCAGAAGAGGCTTGGTGTGTTCTGAAGCGTGGTTGGCTGTGTCAGCTTCACGGTGACTGCCTCGTCAGAACAACACAGAGGGCGGTGAGCCTCTTCTTCTCTTTCTTTCAGACAGGCCGCTGTACATTGCCTCTGGTTTGTGACAAGTTCTGAAGCCTTCGAAGATATTTTCTAGTTATTCCTTATATGGGGGTGGGTGGGGAGCGGAAGAATCTCAGGTTCTATCCAAAAAAAGGTAAAAAAAAAAAAAAAGTAGAAAATCGTGTGGCTATCATTCTCCTTGCCAAGATTTCAGTTCACCTTTCTGTATCTTGGGGCTTCTTTGGTGTCTCAGTGGTAGAGAAACTGCCTGCCAATGCAGAAGATATGGTTTCAATCCCTGGGTCAGGAAGATCCCCTGGAGGAGGAAATGGCAACTCCAGTACTCCTGCCTGGAAAATTCCATGGACAGAGGAGTCTGGTGGGATACAGTTCATGGGGTTGCAGAGAACTGGACACATCTTGGCGACTAAACAGCAACAACAAAACTGCATCTTGGGCACCCTGGGTGAATGCAAGATGGCTCAGGGGCTTGGGTCCTCCCACGGAGCATTACAGAGTCACCCGCTGCCCAAGGCAGAGGCAGCAGGAATTAAGATAATTGTACCTGCTCTAACAGGTCACCCCAATTTGAGATTCTTAGCACAGCAGTTTCTGCATTTTCTGACAGATGGACAGCTTTCCTCTGGGTGGTGACTTGGGGTTCCTCCCATCCTAAGCTCTACTATCTTCTGCCCATGATGCCAAGATTGCTGTGGCAGGAACCAGAACTGTTTTGAGGCCAGGTCAGGAAGGGCCCTAGCAGAGCCAGCTAGAGCTCAGTCCTGAGGGCTCAGAAGGCTGCAAGTGGTGGTTGAGTCATACAGCTGATTCTCTGCATCTGTGGGTGAATTGGATTTAGCCAACCATGGGTCTGAAATTTTAAAAAAGATTCTGGAAAGTTCCAAAATGCCAAATTGGATCTGGTTTCCAGCAGGAGGTGAGGAAGAGGCTGGGGCTCTGCAGTGAAGACTTGCCCAGCGTCCCCTCCTGCAGCAGATCTTTCTCCACCCCTAGTGCAGCATCCGAACTGCAAGGGCCTGGCTCGCAGCCGAGCCTGTGAGTCCTGTCAGCTCTGCTATGATTGTTCTGTGGGAGAAATATTTCCTAGCAAGGGAACATCTGTCTCCCCACCTTCCCCATTTGAAACAGAAGAATGTACACTTTTCCTCCCTCCTGTCCATCATAGAAGGAATCTCTCTCTTGAGCATCTCTCCTCCATGCTGTGACCCAAGAGAGAGATGTGAGTGGCAGAAAAGAGAGCTGAAAAAAGTGACTGATTTTTCGCAGAAGCTCCACTCAATGAAAGGAGTTTAACGGAGAATTCAGGAAATTAAAAATCAAATGTGAAAACTAGATTTATTTTTTATTTTATTATTATTTTCACAATTGATATTTATTTATTTAGCTGTGGCAGGTCTCCATGTCGGCACATGGGATCTTTCACTGAGGATCACAGACTCTCTAGCTGTGGCATGAGGGCTTAGTTTCTCTGAGGCATGTGGGATCTTTGTTCCCCAAACGGATCAAACCAGAGTCCCCTACATTGCAAGGTTAATTCTTAACCACTGGACCACATGGAAGGTCCCAAAGCTGGATTTTAGTAATAACTTTGCTCCATCCCCAGACAGGCAGAGCACAAAAGTACATGACCCATTTAAAGGATGGAGTGATTGTATAGCGTGTGCCTCTGGCCAATGGGAATCCACATTCTAGTTGGTCAGTTGCTCAGTTGTGTCCAACTGTCTGTGACCCCATGGACTGCAACATGATAGGCTTCCCAGTCCTTCATCATCTCCCAGAGTTTGCTCAAACTCATGTCCATCAAGTCGGTGATGTCATCCAACCATCTTATCCTCTATCATCCCCTTCTCTTCCTGCCTTCAATCTTTCCCAGCATCAGGGCCTTTTCTAATGAATTGGCTTTTTGCATCAGGTGGCCAAAGTATTGGAGTTTCAGCTTCAACATGAGTCCTTCCAATGAATATTCAGGGTTGATTTCCTTTAGGATTGACTGGTTTCATCTCCTTGATGTCCAAGCGACTCTCAAGAGTCTTCTCCAGCACCACAGTTCAGAAGCATCAATTCTTTGGGGCTCAGCCTTCTTTATGGTCCAACTCTCACATTCACAGGAAAACCATGTAGACGGTTTGACTAGATGGATTTTGTTGGCAAAATAATGTCTCTGCTTTTTAATATGCTGTCTAGGTTGGTCATAGCTTTTCTGCCAAGGAGCAAGTGTCTTTTAATTTCATGGCTGCAGTCACCCTCCACAGTGATTTGGAGCCCAGTCTGTCACTATTTCTATTGTTTCCCCATCTATTTGCCATGAAGTGATGGGACCAGATGCCATGATCTTAATTATTTGAATGT